TGCAAGAAGATAAGTGTCTTTTATGTTTATCACTTAAATGTGTTCCAAAACTGAAGCAATTCAGTACTTTCCTCTGCGTGGGATATCTATGAATGATTATTGGTTTCTTTGAAGATACAGAAACAGGAATAAAAGCAGTAACTGTATTTTTCAGGTTAGACTGGCTGGTACGTGGCAGTCACCTGTGGGACAGTTCTTGAAGACTTTGCATTCCATCTGAAGTTCAAATGCTTTGAGAAGTTCTGATTTATAAAACTCACTGAGCATGTTTTAGTATCACAATGACAATAGAAGAGTGATCACGTTACTGTTCTTTATCTTGGTTGCTTACATGTGCAAAACCAAATCCCGAATAGCTTGTCAGGTGTGAGAGGTGACTGATTACTCCCCATTCTGAACTAATTACTACTTTAATTGCTGTAATTGTCATCTACAGTTACATTTTCTTCCACTTTTGCGTTGTATTTCAAGAATAAAATGTTTTCATTGGAACTACACAGTTGTTCATAAAGGTAAAATTAATGTCCTTGACGCATATAACTCAGTAAGAATAAGCTATTTATTTCTAGTCATAAGCAACACGTGGATTGAGCCTCTGCACATGAGATAGATCCCAGTGAAGGGATATGGTAGCAATACTAGCTTGAAGGAAGAACCACAGTAAACTGTTTTTTCCCCCACTAATAATTCTGTGACAGATCAGGTTGTTGATTCTTGTGTTTTAAGCATTTTTGTTTTGATGTTGTTTATAAGCTGAAAGGTCATTGTGTTGGTTTGTCTTTGTCTGCTTCAGGAACTTCTATGGGATGTTACTATCTCCAAGAAGATTACTAAACCTGATTTTTACTGTTGCTTTTCTGCACTGTGGTATAATGGAAAAAGTTCTTCATAATTCATAGTGATGGGAACTCTCCCATGAATATTCTTAAACTAAGCTTTAATTAAAACTAGGGCATAAACAAATGGTATATAGTGGAGTTAAAGCTAACAAACGCTGCTGTTACATTTTGCAACAGTTAAAACAGGTAGATCAGGACAAAATGGTTAATTTAGGAGAAACAGAACAGCAATGCATTATAGAGCATACATCGATACATTGAACATGCTGATTAAGTTAGGGTCTGCCACTTCAGAATGCAAACAGAACACTTGCAGGGCAGAATTGTCACTAAAGTAGTGCTGCCTGAGGTCACATTTCTGGACCCTTTTACTGACATGCTGAAAGCTGCATATTTCTCACGCTGCTTAATTTAGCCTGTGCACAAGTTTTGCTCTTGTTTCCAGTTGTGCCTTTATTTGTTTCTGCTGGGGCTGTTATGGTCATGTAACCTGAAGATGAGGGGAACTTTCTTTGCAGTTGAAAGAAAAATCTAGAACCAAGTTGTCTGGTGAATTTAGTTGAACTATGTTGGTGTGATAGAAGACCACAGGACCTCTGTCAGTGCTTCAGACGGCTTAAAGGCCTTAAACTTAGGTCAGAGGTTGGACTCAATGATCTTGAGGTCTCTTCCAACCTAGAAATTCTGTGATTCTGTAAACAGAGAGTTAAGTGCGTTTCTGTCCAATCCCTGCATTGCATTGGGTGTCAGTCCGCAGTTATGAGCTGACTCCTCAGTTCAGTGGATGTTTGGGTTTCATTTCCTACATAACTTTCAGGGAAGAACCTTTAAAGTGCCTGGTTTCTGCCGGGCAGGAAGGTAACTCGAATTTGATTATTCTGAACTTCATTTTCTTCTGGCTGCCTAGGTTTGGTTATTGTCAAAGTTCTGTTTTGGATACTAAACATTAACTATTGTCTGCATGTGGCTCTTACGGTCACCCGATCATACCTGGTTATAAGCTTATCACATTTTCTGTGGCTGCATCCCTACCAAACAGTAATGGAGCAGTCAGTTCCCTGAGGCGTTGCATTTCCCACCTTGTAACAGAGCAGTGTTCTTTAATGACTGTCATGCCTGTGTGCCAAGGGAACACAGGGAGGTTATTAATACGGCAGAGGTATGCTGCTGAAAACCTGTAAGGAGAGCATGAGTACATTAATAGATTAAAAATGTCACCATTATGGTGGAATGATACCAGGATGGAGTTCTCTTTAATAAAGGATAAATGAGAGCTCCTTCTGGAATGAGACATTATTTTTAAATTAAAACTTTATATAAACTAATCTATTTTGATTCTTCTGTAGCAGTCATCACCATTTTGTCTGTGTGCATCAGCCTGTATGTGGATAAATTAATATGAATTAAATTAGCTTACTCTAAAGCATGCATACCCCTCCCCCCCTTACAAAAATTACCGTAGTGTAAAAGTTACCGAAATGTGTGACAAATGGGAAATGAGTGTCAGGCTGCATGTCACTATTCACGCTGGCCTTGTTTCAGGAAAGACTGCAGAAAAGGCACATGTGAAAAAGGTCACACAAATTCTCATACTGAGCAGCCTCCTATTCATTATGGTTGTTACACTAGGTATAGCCTTGTCATCAAATTGTACCAGTCTTGTTTAACAAGAGCTTTTGTTCCCTGATGAATTTTGTGTTTCATAGGATGGAGCGGAATTTGGCTCGTGTGTTGGTATGTTGTTACGGAAGTCTGCCTTGTTTTCAAACATATGATGTCATTGGTTTGGAGAAAAATACATGCCAAGGCAGGAAAATTGGTAATTTCAGTGGAACCAGGAGTTACAGTAGTATGTATTGTAGTTAGTCGTTCCTGAATGAGATTAAATAGGTCATTTCATACTAACATAGTCTTGGCGGGGTAGTTGTTTTGCATACAGGTTGTAATTCCCTCCTTCCTGTTTCTCACATGCTTTCTTGTAGAAACACTTCAGGGGCCAGTTTCTTTCCTTTGTGGATGACTGCTAATGCCTTGTTTTTACAGCTATTTTTTCTATCATACTTCTGTGGGTAATTTTTAAGTACTTAAATTTGCAAATATATTGTAACCTGGGGCTTTCTGAATATTACTTGATGACTTTCTGCAGGCTGTTTGATAAACAGTGTCTTCTAATGTGCAGGCAAGTATAAGAAAAATAAACATTTTATACATAGAGAGCTATCTAAATAGCATCTCAGCTCCATATGTTGTAGTACTCACAAGAGGCTCATTATAATCCCTGGACCTTTTGTGCACCAAATACTTCAGTCCAGATAATGCTGTGCTCCATCTGCCTTAATCTCTGAGCTGCACAATGTGAAATTCTTAATGCTTTGACCTGCTGTATGCTGGCATTTTTGATCTTGAAATTTTCTTGTCCGTGTTGCCATTTCAAACAAATTTTCAAGGTTGATACTTTGAAGTTTGCCAGTTCTATTGAATTACTCAGTTATTTTTCCTAAAATAAGTGTAATTTATAAACGGTGTAAAGTGTATTCATCTGTAAAATATTTTTCAGTGTTTTGCTTGTTTGTTTCTTTTACACCATCTTTTAAGCGCTAGGATTTGTTAATTTTATTCAAGGTGTCGCTGACTGGGCAGAGATCCAGAAATATGTGTTGATGAACTTATTGAGAGTCCTTCAGTTATTTATTTATTTATTTTTAAGCAAAGTGTCTTTTGCTTGCTCCATTGGCATACATTTAAACCTGCAAAGTATTTAGCTGTTTTTATAAAACAGACATGGCACTGGATTTCCGAATTTCACTCTGGAACTGTGATGCTCATAAAATCTACAGTTAGTTTAGAAATCTTTTAAATTTTGCATACCAGAGAGTTCACTCGATATCATTAAATAATGGTAGTTCACAGAGGTATTTCTTACCCTTCTGGTAAGAACTTTTTATTATATAGAAGGACCTAAGGTTAAAGACAGATTTCTTTCTAAGTAATTCTTCTCGATCTATTGAAATGTGCATGCATATATTTATTATGTTTGGGAAGAGGGACTTGTACAGTAGAGTAGAGTAACCTACAGGTTTGCTCAGTTTGTGTCCAGGAAAAAGCTGTCCTTTCCTGCGGGGTATGGGGAGCCAGGAGACTTCTAGAATGTGGTGCATGAGTAGAAATGACAGATTTATCTGTGTGCTTATAAAAGAGAAAACTGGTGGTTTGCTCAGTTGTGTAGTATAGAGAGGAAGGAAGGAAAACAGGAATATTCAGCTCTTGCTGGCTTTTGTGGCTCTGAAAATCAGTTGCTGTAGGGGTGCTGTTGGTGTTTTGCTGTGCCTTGTAATGCTGTGTATCACAGAATCACAGAATTTTCCAGGTTGGAAGAGACCTCAAGATCATCGAGTATGTCTAAACCCACAAAAGTAGGACCTAAACTCCCAGCTTTGCCCACTGCTGCCTAATACTCCCATTATTTCCATGGCCAAGTGATGTACCGAGAACACAGCATTTTATCATACCTTTTTTTAACCTGGTTGCTAGATTGTGTGTCACTGTTAATTGGCTTGTAGCTCCAAGAGCATATGGTCGGTCTCCTGTGGATTGCCTGGCCAATTACTTTTCTTCAGATGTCGGAATTTTCTGTAGATACCAGCATGGGTCTTTTGCAAGAAAATTACAACAAGATCTGTGGATGGTTTTGGTAAAGGGGATGGGGTCAACATTTATACCTCACTATTAATGAAAATAGGTTGGACCATGAGGAATTTAATGAGTAAATTGGTCTAATTTCTTAAAGTTTTCAAAAAAAAATATCTAAAATGAGTCATATTCTGTTACATTTGTCAGACAGTTTTTCAAATCAAAGAACAACTATATGTAGAAAGTGGAGGAGACAGTTGAGGATGTCTAAAACTTGCATTTGAGGCTGCCATTGCTGTAAGAGGTCTGAGATTTGCTATACCTCACAGTCGAGGAGTATGTTCCAGCCAGAAAACTGGAGAAATGAGATTCAGACTCAGGGGACTGAGGGAAGGGCATTAAGGTGTATTAGATGCTAGAGGTTGTTTAACAGTAGACAAAAAACTGTTTCCTAGGGGTTCTATTTTTATGCAGAATACTTCTAAAGGTAAATCTGTGCTGATTGAGGCAAAAGCATTTTTTGATTGATAGGTTTCACTAATGAGTTCTTACACAGGAAGATGGAAATAAAGCATTTTAACATTTGTTTTGAATTGGTGAGTTTTTTGTTCTGCTTCACAATCTCTTCCAGATTCTTTGTAAAAGCTGTTGATGCAAATAGGATTATTTTTTTTTTTTGTTAATGAAATGTACAGGAAGAAAATATAATTGTATTACAAACATTAACTATATTTACTCTTTTTACTAGCTAAGCTTCAGTTGTGTGCAAAAGTTATAGGTGATGGTGAAATATTTCCACATTTAAGAAAAAAAAAAAAGTAAAAAGGATTTAAAACCTTGTGAAGGTGAATGCCAGAATTGATGGTAAAGATGTTTCAGTCTTTTTGAAGATAGATCTTGTCGTTGCAAAGCTATTAATATCCATAAAGAATTCAAGTGAAGAATCTGCTGACAGTATATTTTGTAGAACTGGATTTCCTCTTGTAATTGTAATGCATTATAAAATTAAGTAGCCATATCTGTGACAGAAATACGGCTTTCAGTATTATTTCATCAGAGTGATTTGAGTTTGTGCTTTGCATAAAAATAGTTAATCACTTCCATATTTCTGAAAGTGCAACAAAAAAAATAATATTATGGAAGTCTGAGTATACTGTTAAGGACATTGAAACAAACTGTATATTTGTTGAAAAAATAATTCTTTGTCCTTGAATATAAACATACTGAAGGACTCGAAAGTTCAGGGCCTGTTTTCTTCTATTCCTGTCTGCCAGAGTGACGATGTGATAGAAGGAGCAGGGACTTCACAAACTGATCTTGTACAGGCTCCACCAGGTACTCATTAGACAGAAACAAAGGTTTAAATTGGATTTGCCGATAGGCAAAGAACTGTATTTCTTATAATACACTACTTACGAATCTTGTCTTTCTGCTAAAAGAAGTTTATTGAACTGGGGCTGCTTCAGGGGCTGCTCAAGCACTTCTCCATGCAGTGCTGTTCAGCCATTGTCTCCCACAGTGGCTTCCACAGCCTAACACAGTCTGTCACACCCTATCTTGAATGGAGAGATTAATTAACATCACATCAATGAGTGAAATCTTAAAAAAAAAAAAAAAAAAAAAAAAAGTCCTGAAGTTTGACAGCTTTGTAAATTACGCTGCAGGATCTCACCTTTTTAGATCATTAGATCATTTCCTTCCAAGCCCACCCAGGTCATGAGCAACATGTCAGGAGGGCTTGCTGCAAACTGATGTTTGCAGTTATCATAAGGGTAGAAATGACACACACTTTTGTGTGTGAAACTATTGAATAGAGAACTGCTAATGTATTGTAAATTGTCAGCTTTTCCTTTACGTAACACAATCTATATTTCCGGGCTCATGAATTTATAACTACCAGTTTATGGGGAGAAAATGACTTGCAGCATTTTATTTTTGAACTCCAATTGAATGTTCTGAAATAAGTTATTTCCGTATAGTTGATACATCCATCTATATATTTTTTTCAGAAATATATAGTGAATTTTGTGTGGTTATAGCAGTTTGCTTCTTGTTTAGCTGAATTGTTATCCAGGCATTTTTGTCAAGTACTGCTGCTAGCAGAGAATCACTAGAAATGGTCAAATTATGGAAAGGGTAAACGTCAAGTATCACATCTTCTTCTGTACAATTGACTTAAATTTTGATGAATATTTCTGTTCTTTTTCGTTCTTATGTGTACATTCATTTTTTCACTGTGGATATTGAGATAACAGTATAACAGATAAGAAATCTATTCTTAACTTTTCTTCACTCCAATGATATAGACAATATTATTACTTAAAAATTGCTTCATAATGACTTTTTTTCCCCCCGTTTTTTAAATATTTTTCAGATTATGGCACAGGCTCAAGGTTTTGGGAGAAGATACATTAAAGCCTTCTTTAAAGGTTTCTTTGTTGCTGTTCCAGTGACAGTGACTTTCCTTGATAGAGTTGCCTGTGTAGCAAGAGTGGAAGGAGCATCCATGCAGGTATGGTTGAAAATATCTTTTGTGTGTCTGGAAATTATAAACTGTCTATCCACTGACAACAGCAAGATGGAAGAAAATCTTTTTTCTCAATTGTTACCAAGTGATCACAATTACGTCATGGAATAGTTGAATTTTTAGTTTGTTACACAAATAATTTTGTGATATGAAAATAAAAGCTTTTGAGAACAAAACTTCCCAAAATTCTATGTAAAAGCAAAATATATAGATAAGTAGTGGTAAAAGTGTTGGTTTTTATCCTCCTAATCATTTATAAATCAAGATTATTTTTTTTTTGAGCATTACCTTTTGTCTTGATGCACTACTTTGATGATTCACAAAGAAGCTTTTTTTGTTTGTTTGTTTTAGTTGCTGTGTTACAATAATTGCAAGGCACAAGGTAAAACCACTTCTGGCCATAGTTGCTCTTCCTATTGAACAAATATGGCACTATTTCAGTGAAGAATGCTGCAAATGGCATGAACCTAATATTAATACCTATGCTTATTAGGGAATAAATATCAGTTAACTTTTTTTACTTTGCTTATATAGGATGCTTATGCATTGGTTTAAGCATATCAATACAAATATGTTTGTAATGTTTGAAAGATAAACACTCTTGATAATGAACAGCTACTTTGCTTCCTGTTATTAGGACTTGAAAAATATATGTTGTAATGTAGTTAGCCAATTTTTATATTGTTACCTTGCTTTCTAAATCATATGCCCTGCATACTGCAGTGCATCACTACTGATAATTATAATGTATTTTGTTTTAATATCGTAACATTCCAATTAGCAGAGACTAAAGATTTGATTCATGGATGCTGAGCTCTCATTTCTGATTATCAGAGTAAGTTCAGAACCTTGAAGACAGGGTTTATAATAATCAAGACCAACTGCTGGAGTATGAAGTGTACAACATTCACTCAGGCAAAACTTGGTTTAGAGCCTGGGCTTGGCTGATTTGTGCTTAATGCCACAGAAAAGCCTGGGGTGGATTGGAGGGTGGCACAGTGCCTTTTGCAGTGGCCTATACCCTGGTGTTCAACCTGTCAAGAAACCTCAGCTACTCTGGAAGGCAGCTCTCACCTCAAGAACGGGGACATAAGTAAAATAATCATACTCCAGTAATTCTACAATCCAAGAACAGAAGTTAGGTGTAACACACATTACTTTTTCCGTTTCCATACATGTTATTCCGAGTATCATTGATGACCAATCAAATATATGAAAATCTCAGGAGGGCTTACAGCTGCAGAGCCAGAAATTTGCTCTAGAAATGAGTAGAGGAATGGGAAAACAGGAAAAACAGTTTCATTCTTTGTTCATTTAATTTAATTTCATTTTTTTTATTGCCTTTCATTGTTTTTCTTTCTGTCTCTGGCATAATATTCTATTTCCAAACCATTCTTGTGGGGGTAGTTTTAACTCAGTAGCTGGAAAGAAATGCTCTAAATTTCCCTAGTCCACAAGTCTTTTGAATGCCTGTGGTCAAGACCTCACTTCTGTGTTTACATTTGAAGTCAAAGTCTCAAGTGTTAGGGAACGCTCTGGTATTGTTCTCGAGTGTTGTTTCTGTGCTCGTGTGAAAGGGCATATAGTTAACTGTCATTTATCTTTGGAAAATGTGAAAAACACTACAGTTATACTCTCACATTTATCCAACCTAACAGAAAAGGATATGCACTCTTCATAGTGGCAAGGGAAAGTGATATGTAGTCAGTGTGTGATTAAAATCTAAGCTCTTCCCATGATGTATCTGTTGACTAAACATTCTGTCTGTTGATTGAAGTATGGGTAATATGGGACATTAATAATTTTAATGACATTTCAGTGTCTGCAAAATTCCTCTCTGGTTTTATTCTGGACTGTAGTGAACTAGAAGTTTGTTTTAAACTAACATGCTTCTGTGTGCATGGATGTTCTTCAGACTACAAAAAATCTTCCTGGTGCTTTTAATAAGATACTAATTTCCTTGCCAAGATTTATTAGACACCTAAGTAAGTCTGGCAGGAACATAATTATTAGGAACATATCCTTCTTTTGCAGAATAGCTTGAAGGAGTGCAGGTCATTGCTTTGGAATTCTATCTGTTGACAGTGTTCCCTGAAGAGTGATCTATATTGAATGTATCTGAAAGCTTACGGGTACGAGGGAGGGTGAAGCCCAGTCAGCATGTAGTCGTATATCCATCAACTGCATGCTTCCAATGATACCGTATTGTCTCAATGTGAAGATATCGTGATATGATTTCCAACAATTTGATTTGTAACAGTCCTCTAAAGTGTCTAGCTGACTTTGTGTTCCCATTGTTGTTGCTCCTGCTGAGTCTGAAATTAAAAGTTCTGACAAGAAGCAGGGAATAAATCTCTCACTCTCTCCTGCTTTGTCCCCCTTCAGTTTTTGTTTGGACCAGCCATGCTGCTGCTTCACAGTTATTGATACTGGTAGTTGGTAGTACTTTTTCACATTCTGGCAAGCACACTGCATTGAGGTTCTAATTAAAGTACATATTTTATCATTTATTCCCAATCAATTAAGATAGCCATGCATTTCATTTTTTTTCAAGCTGGTTCAGTGTTTCTACAGCATAATTCTTTTACTTGTGCTACTACAGTGTATATGAGTATTACCTTTGAAGTACAGGGAAAAATACTAAAGTATTGAAGCTTATAATTTCAGCATTGCTTCATTGCCTTCTTTTTTCTTTCCAAAAGTACTGCTTTAATCCTCATGTGAGGTGTTCTCAGTTGCTTAGAATTTTACAGATTGATGTTCTCATCTAACATTGCTTTAATAGTGGGTTTCAAGTGAATTACAGCATTGAACGTAAGTGACACAAGTAATTGGTATTATGATTTCTTAATTCAATGTTGTGGATTTTTTGGGACTAGTCTTGTAATGCTGGATATGTACTTCAACATATTTTGTCTTGTGTTATATTGCTTGTCTGGTATTATGAACTCTTCATATATAATGATGTGGAAAAAGGAAACCCTTATGGATATATACATTCTTTAATTCATCAAATCAAATGGACTGTTTGCAAGTGAGATGAAAGATGACAGTTTATGTGCAACTCTATATGGATGTTTCTGTCACAAACAGTTCAATACCAATACCAAGAATTAGAGCAAGTTGCCTGACCAGGGATCTCTGACAAAGCCCGGTTGTTTCAGCAGCAAATATTATTGAATGTTCTGTGCCATTATGCATAATGGCAGTTGTAATTATTCTGTTGCAGTTTCTCCTAATGTTATTAGGATTACTGTACCTAAGCCTGGAAGCTTATGTGAATATTCTTTCTGTTCCCCAAGCTAAAAGCAAGTAAGTTGCGACCTTCTGGTATTCACTAGTAGCATAACAACTATCAAGTTGATCATTATTTATAGTAAAAGGGCATGCTTTTACCCTGTTACTTACAGAACCTCATGTCCTGTGAGGCTTCATCATATGGCTGGGGATCTCAATTTGCATGCTTTTAGCTTTAGATTAGCTGGTAATTGGAAAGAGCGAATGTTTTGTGACTTCTGCACCATAGTTCTAAATTAAGACCTATGTGTCTCATTTGTAGCAGGCTGTTATGCCAAGAACTTGGGTAAACAAGTTGTAATGCTTCAAGCTCCAGAAAGAAAGAAGCCCCACTATTATTTTGTTTCTTATAGAAGTAAAGAGCTCTTGTGAGCCTATCTGTTGACTGCTTTTTCAGAAATTGTATTTTTGTTTTGCTAGATTTGAGATTCTACTGGCAGTAAAAATGTTGAGGAGAACAAGTTGTCTCTTATTCTTTATATTCTTTGCCTTAGAAACATTTACTGAATTATTTGGAAGATTTTTTACAGAAGATTGTATTGTTGATAAACAGTGAAAGTTGTTGCCTAGTTTTTCTTTCATACCTTCTTTTACCAAAATATTTTTGTATTTGTATGACTACATTTTGAATATGTTAGTGTTACTTTGTGAGAAAGAAAAAAAGAATTCCACATTCTCATATTTCTCTGAAAATCCAATCTAGTAAGTCAGGCATTGGGTATCCACTCTGTAAGTCAAAACTATGAGCGATGTATTGTTTTAAAACGGAAAGCGATATGGCATTACATTTAGAGTGCTTTGAGTTAAAAGGATTATGAAATACCTAACTGTATTTAACCTGTGAAACATTTCCTTTGTTTAAATACAGAATGCAGTAGGAGTTGACTAGGGCAATACTATAACTACATGGTGTGTCCTCTGTAAGGTGAAGTTGGTACAATTTTCATTGCAAGGACAAGTTTATGAACATTTGTGCAAATCTTTGCTATGTATTAGCTGTGAAATACGTTAGCTTTTGGAACAATGTGTTTAAAATCACCATTTACCTTGACCTTCTCTTTCTGCCTTTTAAGGTAAATACTTTGAGTATCCTGCAGTTTATTTTGTGGGAGTATACCATATGCATGATTCTCAGTCTTTTAGATTAGCCTTTTTGTCTAATGTTTAATACAGTTGTTAGCTTTTGGACTAAAGAATGCCTTACTTTGGTTACATAAGTACTATTATGAATTGTTTGTGAATTTTTATGTAAAAATACTATTACGTTGTTGAAGATGCTTGCTGCAAAATTGGAAAATCATTTTGGAAAATCCTTATTAAAATAATAATAACCCCATATCTGCATCTGGTTTTCATTTTTCTGGCTCTTGCAATGAATAGACTCCACTAAATAAAATAATGATGAATGTTAATGTCCTTACAGTAAGGACATTAACATTAATTTATGTTAATGTACTTACAGTAATGTCCCTATGCTGTACGGCAAACACTGAAAACCTCTTCTATAAAAATATCAAATTTCAGCAAATATTGCCACTGTCATGTCAATAAATGAGGAGCTGTATAGTCTCAATACTTTGTCAGATTTGGTGCTGCATGGGGCTATCATCATAGAATTGTAGAATATCCCAAGTTGGAAGGGACCCACGAGGATCACCAAGTCCAACTCCTAGCTCCGTACAGGTCTGCCCAAAAATTTAGACCATGTGACTGAGAGCACAGTCCAAATGCTTCTTAAGCTCTGACAGGCTTGGTGCTGTGATTACGTCCCTGGGGAGCCTGTTCCAGTAATTTGCTTTATTAAATATTTCAAATAGCTCTAGAGTCTAAATTAGAGACCATTGCTGGCCAGTGTGAACACAACATAATTCTATTTGCAGAGTCTTAAAAAGCATATTGAAAAATATGCTGCCAACAAACTTTAGTCTGGATTACTGTTAGATACTTTCTGTGTAGTAAAAGAGTTACATGTATTGTAGTAATCGCTAAAACATCAATGAAGACAGTACTAATATTTGTTGCTTCTTTCCTCTGCTGTTTCTGATGGGTTAACTCAGAACCAGGGTTAATCAGGTACCATAGTTTTGTACTGCAAAACACAAAATAATTATGTATTGTTCTGAATATCTCCTCATACTCTTTGCTAACTACTTATTCAATTGTTTTTGACTGTTGAGGTTAGTCAATAGACTCATTTCAATGTATATTCCTATGAAAGTTCATGCTTCTTTGGATCCTGTTATGGAAGGCCCACGTTTAGTGGTATCTGCTGTAGATGTAGGGTTTTTGTTTTGTTTTTGTTTTCTTTCCTTTGCAAAGAGCATTGAGATTAGTATTGTTGCAAGTACGTATTTTGTTTTTGGTGCATTATCCTTGTATAAACAGTAAAATGCCTGCAGAAAGTCTGTAATTTCTGGGAATTGGCATGCTTGATTCTCCTTCGTTTGTAATCTTAAATGATAGGCAGCAAAGGCAAACAAAATTTTTCATGAAGCTCATCATAAATATGTATCCTATGTAATTTAATTTGCATATAGTAGTGCATTGAAAGATGCGAACTGCTTTTTATCATAAATTTATGACATTTAACATTGCAGTTAGTAAAGAAATATTTTTACTAGAATAAAACAGATGCTTGGTCCTTTTAAAGGAATTGGGTATGGTTTTGCTGTTTCTAACGGCTTCAGGATTTGACCCATTGATAGTGTGAGAGTTAGTTGGAGGATACACAGAGGCAGTGTAGACTTAAATCTGTTCTTTTCCTCTCCCTAAGCCTTCTTTGAATCCTGGGGGAAGACAAGAATCTGATGTAGTGCTCTTAAACCACTGGAGCATTCGAAATTATGATGTACAACGTGGGGACATTGTGTCATTGGTGTAAGTAATCTTGCATATATTTCAATATATGTTCATATAAATGTCGAGCTATTTAATATTAATTTATTGAGTATTTTGTATTTTATCTCTGGCATACTGCAGGTATATGTATGGACAAGGAACATCATTTGCTAGTAATGCATTATTGTTAGTCCTATAATGAATTTACAAAAGTCAGGAGGAGGTCAAAGAATGTATTATCATTTTTTTACTTGAAAGGAGTGCAGTGTAAAATATTATGTGATTCAGTAGTATCTGTGTACAAAAATTACCAAGAAAAAAGAGCTGTGATATAAAGAGAAAAAATAGTAAAAAACATATGGCTAAATGGAGTACACTTTCTAATTTGTTTGGTTATGCGTTCATATTTATGAGAAAAATAGTGTTTTCTTACACATTAACTTTTTTTTTTTTTTTCTGGAGAAATCTTCCTACTGAATCAAATTTTAATGTTACAGCAGTTCAACCTTCTTCATAAAGGACAAAAGTACTCCCCCCAAAGAAAAAGTTTTACAATTTCAAGGGGGAGGTCTGTGCATCAAGCCAAAAGGTGGCAGTATTTCGCTGTTGAAAATATTCAAGACTAACGAGACAGAAACTCCATTTCAGCTTTAATGTAAGATAGAAATGGAGTGTCAAAATGTGCATAACTGACACAATGATATAATACTTGTAGTACATGCTCGGATAGTTGAAGCTTAGGGTATCTAGTTTTGTAAGTGTGAAATGCACAATATGTAGATTACAGTAAAAGAATTGTCTTTGAAGCTATATTTTCTGGCTTCCTTTTTGTCAGCCATCTCTTCTAATTGTCTCATTTTATTCTACCTCTTCATTGTACATTCTACTTCTTCATTGCAATTCATATAACAGTTTTTACTACCAGCTCTTAGAGCAAACTTTTACCCTCACATAGTGGTTTGTTTTTTGTTGTTGTTGTTAGAAACCTAAAAAGTATGTTCTTTCTTGTTGTCTGGCATGTAAGATTATCTGTAAATGGTCTATCTATAAATACAAATTTATTCATGTTTGCAACACCATATATTACAGAAGGACTCCAATTTGAAGACACATAATGACTACTTGCAGAATTTGATTTTACGTATGTATGTGTCCCTCTGCCCAAGTCAGGCTCTAAGAACGGTTTAAAATACTGGATGTACCTGGTTAATAATTAATTGACTGAACAGACGATCAGCTTGTTTTCCAATCAGAAATCAGAAGGAATAGTTTCATTCTTATACTTCTTCAAGATTTGTGGTACCATCTGAACCATCTGCTTTGATTGCTTTCACTTTGCTCTACGTTCAGACACGATGACTAATATTTTAGATATTGTGGGAGGTTTTATTCTTTCTTTTGTATGTTTTGAAAAGTTCACTTGCTGTTGGTGGAGTTTATGTACATCCATGTGGAAGAAGTCACATTGTATTTGAGTGCTGTACTAAAGTTTTTCTTAAACATTTGGGAAGTACCCTGAATAACTAGGCTACGGAATTCATAATACACGTTAAGAGCAATACAAACAAACGATGCAAAATTAATATATTGAATAATTTTTGCTAAAAAGTGAGGTATATTTTATGTATCAGTAACAGCTTTTAGCTTCACGATGCAGATTTGTTAGAAGCATCTTTGGCCTGCTAGTTGGGTTTAAAAGCTTACTGTAATGTGGAAGTTCTCACTGCATTGCAAAGACTTCTTCCAGTGAAGGGAGCCTACAAGAAAGCTGGAGAGGGACTGTCAGGGAGTGTGGTGATAGGACAAGGGTCTTTAAACTAAATGAGGGTGGATTTAGGTTAGATATAAGGAAGAAGTTTACTCTGTGGGTGGTGAGGCTCTGGAACAGGTTGCCCAGAGAGGTTGTGGATGCCCCATCCCTGGAGGTGTTCAAGGCCAGGTTAGATGGGGCTTTGAGCAACCTGATCTAGTGGGAGGTGTCCCTGCCCATGGCAGGGGGATTGGAATTAGGTGATCTGTGAGGTCCCTTCCAACGCAAACCATTCTATAATTCTGTGACTTGGAGGATGCAGTATCTGGATGTGGTTAGGTACCTATGTGGGTTGTTTGAAACTTAACCTTTTGTACATGAGGCTTTTATTAACAAGTTTTAAATATATTAAGTGAATATTTTTATCCTTTTCATTTTGATTGTTTACCTATGATTTCTCTAACTCAGTAGTGAATAGATATGCTATGAATATTCAAGAACAAAATGGTCTTCATATAGTACATTTGGGAGATTTGGGTGAGACATGAACAGGGAAGGCCAGTTTCCCAGTAATTTGCTGCTGCTTTTCCTGCTTCTGTCAGAAATTCAAATGAGAAGGTGATAGTGTGATGGAAGCAGGCAGATGGAGATGTTAAACTTTCTTTCATATCCTACTTGGCTGCTTAACATTTAGGATTTGTTTTCTCTTTGCCAAGTCATAGTACAAACTAGCAAAGAGGTTGTGGGAGGGTGGTCTTTTGCAGGATAAGAACTGAGGTTGAATATTCCATGTGACAGCTTGACCAGAGCTGTCCAAATTCTTTGCCTTCTTTATACCATCAGAAATGTGTCATTCTGGATGGGTGCTGTTTTTACCACAGCTCTTAAAAGGGATTATTTAGATCCCAACTGGCAAAGTCCTGCGTAAATAGATGGCCAAGAGCCAAACCTTGGAGCAAAGAGATGAATTAATCTTGTTGGCTTTGGATGCCCCAAGAGAGCAACAGTCAGCCTGTGATTATGCTTGCAATATTGCTTGCAGATCCAAAAGTTTGTATTTTTGTTATCTGCTGACTTGAATTACAAATGAGCACCCTGTCCCCCAAGCATTTGGTGGAATTTATGTTGGGTTTAAGAATTAAATGAAGACCATCTTTATGGAAACATGTCATGTCTGTCATCCCTGACTTTGCATCTGAGCTGACCTGATATAGCTGTAACTGTGCATTACAACCACGGCTGTGCAGTTAGTCACTGTGCATACACATGTGCATATGTGATCTTAGGCATAATATTTAGAATGGCATGAATCCTTAAAATTATAAAATTAGAGTCAGATAAAACAAATGGAGAGAATAAGTTGGTAGCAGAGGATGATTTCTTTACTTTCAGTTCAATGTTTTAGAAATAGCTAAATCTTATCCCAGCTTTTAAGAAGCTGTTCTAAGTTAACATTTTTAATTTTAGCTTGAATCATACTTACTGATACCAGAATTAAGAGAGCTCAATGTTATATGTTACAACTTTTGAACTCACAATTTTAAATTTATTTGGAAATGAATGTCATCGTCCTTAATTTGATCACTTGCTTCAGTGCTTAATTTTGACATTACTGTATTACTGGGACTTAAATCAAAAATTAAACCAGGATTATTATTCCAGTAAATTAAATAATTTCCATTGTTATGTGTTCCATAATACTGCCTTTCCATCTCTTAAAGAGATGCAAAGAAAGTGTGCTATTTTCTTTGTTTTGACAATGTTTGCTTATCTTCACATTTTGCTTCAAGAACATCATGTGGCACATGGGTTTATCTTTAACAGATAAATGAATGACAATTCATAGCAGACAGACCTTGATCTTTTGGTACTTTTTGTGGTGAAATAGGCATTTATTTTGCAACAGCTGTGCTGAGGTCAATGCCAACAGTTATGATGAACTTTATCAGATATTGCAGAGTGGGTTATAGGATCCTAGCTGTTTTTTTCTCCAGGTTTGAGTGGCAACTGCATTGTAGTTGTAGCATTCTCCATCACAGTGTGGGCTGTACAGCTCAAGCAGGTCCCTGGGCATACACACTGCAACTGCACTGCATAGTGCTAATGGAGATTGTACTCTTCTATTGTGTATTAATGGACATTTTTGCCAACTTACCTACATGTAACTTGGTTTCTACAGTGTACAAATGCAGGCTGTGGTAAAAAGATGTTGCTAAAGAATGTTTTATAGCTCTAGAATTCTTTTCTCTACTGAAAAATCCCTTATATCCTACTCGCCACTAACCTTGTATCCTGAGTATACAAGGTTTTCAGTACAGTAACTCTTCTTCTCTTTTTATTCCCAAATTCCTGTCTTAATGTACCAAAAAGGTGTTGCAACATGTAGAAAACTGCAAAATTAGTATGTATATGTAGGATTATGTTTTTTAAATGGAAATGACAAGTTCTAAATAAGCTTTTGAAATGAAGACAACAGTATTAACTCAGATTTAAAACATTTTTTCAGATAAGTAAAGGTTTGGATCTTGTCGAATTCTTTGCTTGCTTAGTAGATTTTTTAACAAAGGAGTAGGTTCAATGATTGTAGTATAAAAAGCATTGTTAGATTTTGAATGATGAAATTTCAAGGCTGTTAACTATTCACAGGTACTAATTTTAGCTTTTGGAAGCTGTGCTTGTAAAACACAGATACTGTGTTATAGGGGTATCTGTAATAGAGAAAGTACCTTCTGCAAGGTGTGACCAGGAACAGGAACTTTGTAGGTTGCCAGCTGTCCCTCCATTTCTAATTTAGAATGTGTTTTTATGAGTTAAATAGAGATATCTATGCTAATGTAATCTGGGAAATGTTGAGGACCAATGCAGTTTGTTCTGTGCTTTCTGAGTGATAAAATTCTGAAGTTTTGAACTATAATAGCTAAATGAAAACAGGCAGTGTATTTAAAAACGTATTTTTAAAGGACAGCAATAATACTAAGGAAAAAATGTACATTTTTGTCAGCTTCTCATGAGTTCTCAAATAAAAGCGTAATTGCTTTAATACAAAACCAATGTTCTACATGAGAGATTTCTTGATATTTAAAGAAAAACAACTTACATCCTATCTCCTGTTCTGATGACGAATATTAAGTAGTTTCTGTAACAGCTTCCTTTGACTCTAAGATTGTTTTCAGGCCTTTTGGTAAAATACCTTTAAATAACTGCTACATGTTTTTATGTGAGTTTATGTGTATTTGAACTTTGAAAAATCCAGTGCAAATCAACATTCTGGAGGAAGAATCAAAGTACTACATGCAAAGTTGTCTCTGCTGCAGTATCCCTCAATGTTAGCTGTTAGCTGGAAATGGAAATTGGAAAAGGTAGTTGCCATGATGATTTTATTTGATAGTTCAACAAATTTCAGTCTATTCACACAAATCCGAATAATCCACTTTTTGAAGGATTGTGGTCCTGTTCGTATGATGGAAACAAAAGAATTCTCAAATGGTGTAAAATCAATACATACTCTCCATAAAACATTGCTAATTGGAATTTCATTAATGAGACTAGCCTAGTAAAATAAAAATCAGTAAGAATGTACTTATTGAAGGAACTGCCTTGAATTTGAATCAGTAGCTGTAATTAGAAAAAGACTTAGTACAAAATTCTGATAGATGTAGCATGACTGAATATTTACTGGTTCTTGCATAAATTTTACGAAAGCTTTTTTCTAGCTAAAATATTGAATTGCCTTTAAAGAATACCTCCGCTTGACCTTCTTAAGTCTTCCAATTTCTATTCTATTTTTGTTTGTACTTAGGTCCCTATACCAAGTCATCTATCTTCTGGCAGGCAGGACACTGCAAAAGAGGTTGTGCTGACATAGAAGCTAAATAATCACTTTACTTTCTGGGCCTCAGTGACCTCAGGAAATCTTTTCCTATTCTGTCCCTTTGGCTGGAAGAAAAAAAAAAAAGTCTTGTCTTTTCCCGATAAAAATCAAATATGTAGTTCTGCTATTATTATCTGTGTTACAGTCTAGCTATCATACTATATATGAGTGTGTTAATACTGTTGTTGAAAGCAGGAGTTGTTTTTTATTTATAAAGTAAGTAAAACGCATTTTTTAAGGAATGTTTTTAGGTACTATATGTAATCCCAGGATTTTTAATGAAGTGCTTAGGATGAGTTTAAGTAGGCAGTTATTGTAGTACTGTGGAAACTGAGCAGTTGTGGAGTTGTTATAGTTACAGCTATAGTTATTGAATTTAAAGTGTATTGATACAAGTAGGAAGTTTACAACATTTGGTTGCAACAATCATTGCTGTAGAGAGTCTAGCTAGATTATTTGGGCCAAAAAGTAACAGATATGATTTTACGACTTTATAATTCCTTAGTGGCCAATTTGCAACTATGATAATTAAAAAGAAATATCTTCTGTTTTCTAAAAAGCTAATGATGTGGAACTCAATTAAATGGTTGGGTCTATTTGTGAAAGAGGTGTTAGTTGATAGGGAAGAGTCTTGTATTCTTATAAATGGTGTCAGCGAGAACTTCATATTCTGGTTGATTTTGGTTTTGTCAGCCTAATGATAGTACCTTGCTATTGAATGAAGAAAAAAATTGTTTCTTTTTGAGAATATTGCTTACTGTATCCATCAGAATCCTACACTGCAAGTTTACTAAAGCCACTACATTGATTAGTGGGTTAAGCTAATGGGACAAAACAAAACTGTTAATGATAAAACATGAAATTATCATTCTATCACAGGAATATATCAGGTAGTATTAAGTCTACATAAGGTATTTTATAGGATAATAGTGGATCTAGTACCTTGCCCTAACATCAGTAAATCCTACTCTAAAAGCAAATGTCAAGATATAATAACAGGATCAGTTACCTGGATCATTTTTTTGTTCTAGTTATTTTGCCTTTGAATAAATTTATGGACATCAGTGTGGTTGTCATAAATTCTGTTTAAAATGTGAATTCCCATTAGGTGGAAAATAGTTTAATCTTAATGACTGCTAATGAGATAGTTCCATCAGTTTTTATCTGAGGTATTGCTATATAGAGGCTGAGTTGGAGAAACATAAATCACTATTACCGTGCCTTTTGCTGTTGGCTCGATCATTTTAATTTGCTGCATATTGTATTTGCTTTTTGATTCAAATGCAACATTGAGGGACTTGACAAAGAAATTAAAACCAGATATACTGACTGTGATGTTTGCTTGAATTTACTGTTGAGACAAATAACATAAGCTTCCACAAAGGTATACTCTTGTGAAATGAAGGGTAGTTATGATCTTAGCAACCACAGTACCAATTCCATAGCCTCAGCATTAAAGCTGTTCTACCTGTGTATCTACATTTCTTGTTCCAGGTATTTTGCTCCTTGGCTCATCTCTGTTCACACTGGAATTTCTGAAAGTTATGGCTGTGTAGCACCTCAATCAGGTTAGGATGAGAGTAGTAAAAAAAAGGTGCATTTGAAGTTTCAACCACATATATATGTTTCTAAATCTTTGGAAGGCAAGAGAGGTGGGAAGAAAACTGATTGTGTTGTGATCTTTAAATTGTATGATCAGATAGGTTGTTAGCAGCTAATTAGTAGATAAGAGGGACATATGTTGTGCTGAAGGAGAACTGTTAACAGTAATTTGCAATCTCAAAAGAGAATTAATTAATTTATTTGCTCATTTGATTAATTGGTTCCTTTATTTTTACTTTGCTTTTTAGTAATCAGGCTAGTGTTCAGGAGAAAAGGAAAAAGCAAAAGCAAAAACCAAAACACCTCTCTAACAAATGAGAGAGGTGCTACTTTTACCTGCCTCTGTTCAATAGAAGAGGAAACAGTATAGAATAGGCTTTTCTACTGTTCTTGATCATGGGCAGTTGCAGTATTTTGGAAATACTGGGTATAAGCGGATAGCTGCGTGAAATACTGCAGAATTACAGCCACCATGTGATTGGCTGGAATGCTGTCTGGTCCCGTAACTGCCTGACTTACAGCGTGATGCCTGACTGCCCTATGAAGGTCATGTTGAGCAAAATGAGCTTGAAAGCTGCCGTGTTTTAGAAAAATGTCACTCTTTCCTTTTGAAATATTTATAATTTAGATGCTAGGAACTTGCTTTGGTTTCAGCAGAATCTGATGATATAAATGCCTTCTGTGTTACAGGTACAGAAAGGTAACTATACATTTTTCCTAAACTTTTTTTTTTTTTTTTTTTAACCTTAGAAACTTTGACAACTATGAGAGGGGAGTATTTGATACATTTTTTTACAGTGCATTTCCAGTTGCTGAGAAGTAATTGCTGGTTATCTATGATTGGCATTGCTTGTAGGAACCTAGAGCTAAAAAAAGCATTAAAATAATCTGAATACTCATTGTTGGAAGTAGCAGGAAATATAATTATTTCAGCAACTGAGCATTCCAGTGCACATCCTGGTATAGGCTGTTCATTTAGAGACTTAAGTAAATTCAGACTGAATGTCTTTGGTGGTGTACGATAAAAAATGTCGTGGGTATCTGTATGGTTATCCTTGCATAAAAATATGAAGTGTGTTGTTGATGATGATATGTGTAGATGGATTGTAATATTCAAATGTGTTCTCAGTATAGAATTACAGAATATCCTGAGTTGGAAGGGACCCACAAGGATCAACTTGATGAGTACTGGCTTAAAAATTCAGAGGACTGGTAAACTGTAAATAAACTGGTAGTTTAGGAAAGTAATTTCCTTCCCTTGAAAGTAAAGGTCTTGTGGGGAAGCTAATGGACCAACCATGATTCCTAAAGATGTGTATCAAATACTTAAACTTAGGTTTCACTGAACTAATGAAATGCTGAGGGTTAAATTGATGAAACACCAGACTCAACTTAAAAGAACCTTCTAGTTGGATTAAATCTTAGCTTTTGTACAGCTTAACTTGAATTTGGAAGGATTCAAAAGTAATACAAATTTTAGGTATTAAAGATGTTGTATCAACTTCTGTTATGAACAAATTCTATTCTTGGAGGGGAAGAAATGAAAAAATCTTTCTGTAGAACAACTCCAAAGATCAGCTTTTCCTTCCTTTTCCATATGAAACCATTCTGTTTCAAAGGTGTCCAGTTCCTTAACATCAGGACTTTAATACTCTGTTGCTAAATTGTTGCCTGCAGTAGTGTGAAAGCATTAACAAAGATGTGTACATAAGACATTATAATGTGATTCAGCAACGCTTGAAGCCTAGAATGCAGTAATTTCTCTTCAGCAATGAAACTTGATTTTTTTTTTTTTGAGAAAATACAGGGACTGATGTCCTCTATATAAACTGCTAAATTAATTAAATTGTTTCTATAGCTTTTTGAGTGCACAAAAAGAAATCTAAATATATTTTACCCCTTCATGCATTTAGGGCAGCTTTTCTTTTGTGTACAATCTGGGAATTACTGAACTGATATTTTATTATACAGGATATTTCATACTATTTGTTCTTGGACAAATTATAGTTTAAATACTGCCACAGCTGTCTTCATATCTTTTAGTAATAACTTCCCCTAAGCCAGTTGTGTTATGAGCAACCATAAATATTAAGTGCAGAACGCTACTTCTAGGAATCTTTCAACGCACTGTACATATGCTGACAAAGTGGGTTCTGCATACCCATCAAAAATATTTATTTCCAATTTAATTGGTGAAGTTGGAAGAAAAACCATGGGTCTTGACCTGTGCTGAGTATATTGTGGACATGAATATTTTTGCATATAATAATCAGAGTCTTGGCCTTGTTTTCTGTTTTCTTTCTTTCTCTCTCTCTCTCTCTCTCTTTTAAATAGCCTGTTAGCAAAGGCAAAAACAAGGGAATGGCAAATTATCAGGTTTAAAATGATAATTAACCTTATCATCACTGTATTTTCTAGGGAAATTATATTAGGCTGCATTCATGAATGTAACATTAGTCTTTTATGTGCAATCAGCTGCTCCTGGAAAGTGCAGTTGAACAAAATTTAGCCTTAAATACATACATATATATTTGTTGTGTTGAGAGGGGACCTTATTGCAGTTGTCAGCTGTGTTGTTGATTAGTTGCAGAGAAATGGAGTCAAACTCATCTCTCATCACGTTCCTGTGCACCTCTGAGAAAATAGCCACAGTTTTAACAAGGAAAATCTGACCAGATATAAGACAAATATTGCACAATTATAATGGCTAAGTCATTCTCCAGAGAGACTGTGAAATCTCTCTCCTTGGAGACAATCAAAACTTGATGAGCCTCAACCTCAGCAACCTGACCTACCTTTGAAGTTGAGTCTGTTTGGGCCAGGTGGTTGAAGTGGATGACTCCCAGAGGTTGCTTTGAACCTGAATTATTCCGTTTCTCTACATCAAATGGAATTTCAGCAATTGAACTTTTAAGATATGAGACAATTACTAAACCCTTCAAAGTTAGAAGTCAGCAGTACCAGTTAGTGTTTAGATTATTCATTATGTTGGTTTTAATTGGTTTTATAATGCAGAAGTGCAGTTTCTAAAAACCTCTTCTGTAGCTGTAGCTGTGATATTTGTCTTACAGTAGCATCTAGAAGACCCAGTCGTGCGTAGGAAGCCCATTGTGTTAATAGGTGAAGGCACAGAAAACGGTAAGATTTCATTTGGTTTGATAACTAGACTGTAAATTTAATAAAGAAACAATGAGCAGATTCAGGCAGATGCATATAATGAAACAATCAATGTGGTGGGTGGCAATCTGCATGCAGACAGCTAAATGTTGGGTCATGTTTAACATACTATAGTAAAGGAAACTCCTCTGCAAATGTGTGTGGAGAGCAGTTCCCAAGTGAGAAGAGGAGCCTGGAAAAGTACACAAGTAATTGTTTGCTCACTTGTTAAATTTTCAATTAAGTCTGACTGGATTCATTCGTAAGAGGCAGGGTCAACATTTTGACTGTAAATCGGGGAGAAATATGTCAGGAATAAAATATAAAAGACACCTAAAATGAAGGCAAACAATTTAATATGATAGAAAAATGAAAGCAGTTCAGTTGCAAAGAGGGGTTACTTGAAAAATTTAGCATTGTGGCTGTGATTTAATGACTTGATGCAGGAAGAATCTACAAGAATCTTTTTCACTTATCTCATAAATAGAACTTGAATTGATTTGAACTTGACCTATCTCCTCTGCCAATATGCAGCAGAATAGATATAGTCTGCTACATTTTAGCCATTCCACTTATATTCTCCCTGGTACTGTAGATATCTTCTTTTATAGCTACCTTTATAAAATGTAAAAACATAGCATATGAAAGCTCTTTTTTAATTTTTTCTGTATCCATAATATGGATTAGATGGGGAAAAATATTGATAACTTTGAATAACTTTGATTTCCCCAAGCCTGTCTAAAAACAAACAAATAACAAACCCAGGAGATGATTAAGGTTTCCAATGAACACCTTTCTCATATACCTTCGAATACAGATCACTAAAAAAGAGGTACCTATTGAACATACGCTTCGTGTTATGTGTTGTTTCATATGTCTGCTTTAAGGGATGAATTAGTGGCATTCTTAGAACAATAACTTTGATGTTCCAATAACTAGGGCAACTATAATGAGAGAAGTGTGGTCTTGCCATATAAAAGGAAGTATATTGTCAAGCAAGCAAAAGATAATAGCATCCTGTACACCCAGAAGGCCTGCTATGATGTTTGTGTCTGCGTAAGATCCCCTTTGCCCTCAGAACAGTCTATTTTTAAACTAGTGCTGAGTTTGACCTTAGTAAGGAGATACTGTTGGAAGATATTGAAATGCGTGATCATGCACAGTGTGTTCTTCGGTCCTATAGGACACCGATAGTAGTAATTTTTCTACAGCAGATTTGTATTAGTTTGCAATTTCCCGGAGTTCAAAGGCTTATCTGTTTAACATTAAAAGGGAAACCTTAATTACAAATTATATTCCATATCCTTAATCAAATAATAGCTTAGCTGACTGCATGAGGCAGACTCAGTTTCATTGTTCTGGACGGTTTAGGAAGGGATGGTTTCAGATCCCTGATTAATATAGGTAGAGCGTCCATAGAATGTGAATTGCTGATGTGGTTGAAACTACATTTCCTTTGCTGTAAGCTGTGATTTCTCTCTAAGTTCAGTGAAAACCAGATTGTTCTAGGTCATTATGACCATTGCTTCACAGGAACAGCATACATACCTTTAGGAGTTGAAGGGGGATATTGGTGTGTATTTACTGAAACATATTTAAAATACCTTGCAAAGCCAGAATTTGCAGGAACAATAATCTTTCATGGGCCTCTTGTGGCCTTCTAAGATAATGCTTGACCTTTATGTTTTCCCATGATATCTGGACTGTAATATTGAGCACTAGCTAGATTTTTAAATAAGTTGACTTAATGTTTGTCACCCTTACCGCATGAAGCCTTATGCTTGCGTGTTGTGAGACACTGCTTCTTGTGCACCAGCAGGACTCTGGTGCTAACTGCAGCTTAACTGAGGAAGAGGGCACTGCATTCCATATGTTTTAAAACTGATGATGAGAAGGTATGGTGTTAGGAGGAGTCTTTACTGGGAGAAATCTTTGAAAATTATAACTAATATTAAATTAAACCTGATTTAGCAAAACAAAGGACTTCTGAATGTCCAAGCATGAATTTAGCAGAAAAAAACACATCTACCAATATCTAAAACTCTGTCTACATGCTTCTTAGTTCTGATAATTAAAACAGCTAAGCACTTTCATACAGAATCTTTACTCCTCTTTGTTTTTCTTTTCATGAGATTTATTTTTTGAGACTTTGTCTCAGTGGTCATCTTTGTGAGAATTTTGAGTAACTGGTCTTCCAGATTTAATCTTCTGGATGGTTGTCATTTTCTAATCCCATGATTAGAAATTGACAACCGATGTTGAAGAGTTTGCATAAAGCGAGTTGAGGTTTATGTAAGTACTTAGTGTGGTAGTTGGTGCTGTGTTGTGTTGCCTGGATGACTGTGGTCTGCTCTGAGTTGCCTGCTTTTCTGAAGTCTGCCCTTATTGTTTCAGCTGTCTCATTCCAAATACGTTTTTCAATTTTCTCCTTTATAACACTTAGCATTTTTATTTGTTTTTATGCATGTTTTAATCAGCTTTTATGTGTACTTATTGATCAGGGTATAACATAGCATCTCTCACTAGTCCATATGTGAATGAGTTGATATATTTGAAAACACTTAGATCTCTCAAAGACTCCTTTAACAGTTGTATTTAGGATTTCTGTGATGTTATAACTATATGCAAGGCAACTCAGCAGGGTTTTTCAGTTCACAGGATTTGCTAATGCAGCAGCAGTTAACCGCCAAGGGAAATTTAAATTTCAAGGGACACTTCATGTCCTGATTTGTAAAAGCTCTCCTGTGCTGTTCCAGAAATTTCTGCTAGCACCTATGTTTAGCTGTACCGTGAGGCTTGTTTCAGCTGCTGTATACTGTTTCCTAAAGCTCATGAAGTATTATATTGCAGCAACAAGTATATTCTCTAGGTGGTAGTGGCAGGGCTAGCAAACGTGTCTGCCCCTGGTGTTCAGACATCATGTGCAGAGCATTTAGTCTTATTAGCACAAAGCATTACTCCAGGCTAGAAATAATCCATTTTGGTATCTAATCTACCAGTTATACTCTTACTTTATGATATGTTAACACTAATGTCACTGATACTGGAATGGGCTCAGAAAAGGTACTAATATTTTTCTCTCTGTCTCATATTTGCAGTCGACAAAGTGAACAAATAAACCAGATCAATACTGTTCTTTTCATGAGGTACATTTCATGAGATTTCATTAAAAAAAAACAACACACACACACACACACACACGCATGAACCTTGAACACAACAACAATTTTATGATTCCTATATTTATGAATTCCTGATAGTTCTCCCATGTGCTTTCTAAGAATAAGGTGAGTTTGGAAATTGCTGTGTAAGTTTAATCCAAGAACAAAGATCAACAAATGTCTGAATAGCTGATATTCAGTGACCTTTAACTTTGGAAGTAAATGAGGAATTTGTGAACTGTAACAACAAAAATATTAATGGCTGTTAATTAGTGAGATTTGCTTAAAAAATAAAAGTATTAATCATACTCTTGCTGGCAAATAAGAGGCTTGCATTTAATAGTGCACATTATATGTATGTAATAGTTGTAGTCTATTTTCATATTGTGTAATCTATTTGTGAAATATTCATTATGGGCAAACAGAGGTCATACTTTGGAACAGCTGGCATTCAGTAGCAGGATGAATGAAAGACATCGCTCACGTCCACAGTGGAAGTTAGTAAAAGCGTATATTGTTTTTGAAAGTTGTTAATTTTCTCTTTTCCTTGTGTGACTTGAAACAGAACTGATGTTTGGTGCTGTTGAGAATCCAGACTGTGAAAGGATTTGGAATCCCTGTTGTCATAATTCCTTGAGTGTATGAAGCTCATGTTGCCTGGGAGAAGAGAGACTGTAATCCCCTCCTTGCTCTTCCAATTTACAGCCCAGAAGATTACTCCTCAACTTTTTATCCTTAGGGTCAAAATTTACTATATTTTAAAGCAGTTCAGAAAATCAAACTTCCAGTAAAAAGGAATATGTTAAATTCATTTATTTTACAGTTTATAAAAAATTTGAAACATAAGATGGCTATTTACACTCTTTGTTCTATATTTGATATACAATTTTTAGATCCTAGAATGACAGTGTTTTATTAGAAAATAACATCCTGGTTTTCTATTGTATTGAAGGTGCATGCAGCCCTAAAGGGCTTCCACCCAGAATGGCAAGCTGCTGGTCAGATATGGAATTACTTGGTTTCTTAGTAACGAGCAGGAAATATATATGAGGGATGTTTCAATTTAGGGTCCATTTAAAACAATATTAATTCTGACATGTATTTACAGGCAAATGAAATTTCTACTTAAAGCTTTCTGTCTATCTTAGGATTGTTATATTCAGGAGGATACTAATAAGCTGAAGCAAACTTGCAGCACAGCAACAAACGTGATTATGAGATCATATAGAAGGGTGCTCTAGAAGCATATATTTAAGGTTTTGTCTGTAGGTCATGGTTTCTGATGATCGGATTGTGTCTGGGTCTAAGGTCCTGCCCAAGCCGCAGTTGTTGTGCTATGGGACGATTTTCAACTCTCCACTCCATTTGAGCGGATAAACCTTGGGATGTCAGTCACACTACTTTCAACCTGTCCTAATAACAAATCCAGAAACTTGAGAGAGAAAACAAGGAAGATGAGAACAGACCTGTGGTGGAGAACAAAGGTACATGATTGACACCCTGTGAGATGCTTCTGTTTCTGTTGTTCCCTGTGGAATTTTGATGGAGAAGCTCTACTGAATCGAGATTCTAGAGAAGGAATTGTGACATCTTCATTTTGCTTCTGATCTTCTTTATTTTTTTATTTTTTTTGTCTATGCAGACTACCTTAAATAAATAAGTTACATTGATACTTTAATTCAGTGCTTGCAACAGAGTAGTTCATGTGTTAGTTTGGCTCATAAGCAAATCTGTCTCTTCTCCTTGTGGCATATTTTTACTTTTTTTTTTTTCTTTTTTCATTCTATAAATCTCTAATTAAGCATTAAGGATGAAGCCTCTAGGCTATTATTTTATTCTTCTTTATATTTTGTCATGCCTAAGGATGCTGCTTTTGGACAAGAGTTTCATTGTTCAAGAAGCTCCACACAGATTTGTTTGTTGCCTCAAGGACAGGGGTTCTGCATTAGACTTCCTTCAATCATCTTTATTGTTTTCATAGATACTGTATCAAGACTCACCAGAATTTCTCTGTAGTCAATGGAGAAAAATGAGTACTTCCAAAAATTAGGTTTTATTAATTATCCTTAGACGTTTTACATTAAATAATGGGCCAAATAAATGTAATGGATTTTAATTTAGAGTAAAAACATTGTTCTGTATGGATTTTCCACTGCTGTTCCTAAGCTAGATGCCCTAATAGTATTGAAATTACTTGATTTTTATTTTTTTTCCACCAAACAATTGTATGGATTCTTTATGCAGAATTTACTTACCCTGGGATACAATAATTTTCCACATTACATCTTCAATTTCATCATAATGCCTCTTACTCTTCACTGTATAGAACTTGGAGCCTCTTTTTGAGCTTATAATAGTTGTTCAGTACACCAACAAGGGTCTTAAATGTTGCAGTAAATTTTCATCATGAGTTACACTTGCTGCTAATTAACTGGTATTGGGGGTCTTCCTTATTTTTCTTGTATTTGCATCAATATTTTTTTTCTTCCTTTCTCACTGGCAGTTAAACCACACAGAAGGGAAAAAAGTCATAATTTAATGGATGACCCCTTGGATCACAGATGCTGACAAAATGAAGCCTGAAAATTTTAAATTGGCTGGCTGCTGTTATCCTAGCAGAGCCCATTAAAGTCACACAAGAGAGCATAACTTATTATGTAGCTAAACTGTGACTTTTTCATGGTTTCTTTGTAAACATGACAAAATTTATGGATGGCATTAGTGATACTAAGTTGACAGAATTAAAACCACTGTTTATTGATACAGTTCAGTAACTTGATTTAATTAGATTCTCACCGCATTGATCTAAGAGGATTTTCAAGCAGTGTTTTATGACAACGGTTTAAAGGAGAATGCTGAAGTTGTCACAGGGGTGATGAATTAAAATAAATATTTTCATTTAAATATATACATACTTAGTGTTTAGGCTTTTGAACTTTTCCACAGATATTTGGCCACAGGGCAGGCACAAACTCCATCCTTAAATAATAGTGTACTGCATTAACATGGAGTGTGTTAGTATGGCAGAGATTCAGCTCTACTTAAATAGACACATTAGCAGTTGCATGTCAAAATTCAGTCTCCATTGATGGGATCGACTGTAATGGGAACTTCAGACCCTTAGTTCCTTTATTGATACCCACATTTAATGTGCTTTATGGAACCAATTACAGAAGTGAGTGGGGTTATTAGGATAATCAATTAACTCTGAATCTGTTGGAACAGATAATACCTTTTAATTTCTTGGTGTTTCTTTCCTATGCCTGTCTTTCCTTTAGGCTACCTGTTTCTGTTAATAAGCAACCTGGTTGTAAATCCGCTCAGCTTTGTTTTATACCTTTTTCTATTTCATAAGCTTTATGGAAAATAACAGGCAATGCTGGTCTCTGGTCTTCTAAGCAAAAGCTTTTAGACATGAAAGCATAAGAAATGATAAATTGAAGGCTAATTGAGGCAAGAAACTTGAAAAACCTTCATGAAATTACTGATATGTATTTATGAAGATTTATAGAGACGCCTCATGGATTTGCGTAAGGCTTTTGTTCCATTAAATATAGTAAAGGGTTGTAAGGGGTTGGTGTTGTATTCAGCTTAAAGCTACTTGACAGAGATTTTGCTGCTGTGCATTAAAGTTAGTGTAAACAGTAATGGTTTAGGGAGAGCAGCAAGGTGTATTGAAGAAAATGGTAGTCTTTAAACTTAAGTAAATCTGTTTTTGTACTGCTTGTCATACAGCGTGCTCCTTCTTCACAGTTACTGGTTTAGCCTTAGAAATACACAAGCTTTCAAGTATTTTCACTACTCTTACTGCTGAATGGATGTCATCACAATAATGAATACTGTCGTATAATAGGAACAAAGATTTTGTTTTACTAAATATACCAAACTGACCAACACTAACATACTCGCTTGGTTGCTTTCTAGTTCAGTTATAAAAATAGCCCAGCAGAGCTTCTTTCTATAAAAGGATTATTCTAGGGAACATTTGCTTTACCAAGAATAAAATATATTCTGTGTTACTATATTTGACAGAACAGACGATGTGCAGTATTCTTATCCTGTATTTACAATGAAGTGATGCTCTTTCTATGTTACTAGAATTCGGATATTATTTTTTTAGAATGGTCTCAAAAACCCTTCCTTAAGGAATTTCATGGTACATTTAAAAATATATTTTCTTTTTATAGTGTTCTTCATACTAAAATAAATACAGAATCTCTAAGGCATGATGGAAGATATATGGGAAGAGTTTCTACTCTAAAGAAAAGCAGTGCAGTTTGAACAGATTATACAGTAAAAGAGGACTAATCTAAGAAAACGCAGCTATAATATTGCTGAATCTTTTCACTTTGAGGCATTCTGCAGAATGCTGATGTAGCCAATAAAAGGGCACATTCATCAAAATGTGTAATTTAATTTTAAAAATAAAACACTTCAGTTTAAGCATACAGTACTCAGATTTCACATGAAGGTGAAGAAACCCCTTAGGCCATTTAAAATTTATGAGGAGTCTTGTGATTTCATTCATTATGTTGACAATATGCACAGCTTCTTTCGAAAATGGATTGGACCAAAAAAGGTGAACAGACGTGGTCGTAATAGCTCTTCCCATAGTGTGTGCTGAATTATGAGAGTTACTTCTGATTATACGTTACCCAGGAGGACTGTTTAATGTGCTTGGTTATATAGATCTGCAAATTTTTAGCTGTGGGCTGGTATCCATATTGAGCCATAAATTTACGGTTGATGTATTGCTTTCTAGGCAGACAACTCATACTTTGATAGAATTAAAGGCAAGAATTGATTTCCTGCTAAATAAGACACATTTCAGTTTAAAGTCTAATAAATGGAAACTGGAATCTCTATATGCAAATGGATATATTGTAAATGTTGATGTACAAAATGTGTTTTTTTAGTTACAGATTTGCATATAGATATGGAAAGATACCTTTCTGAATGAAAAAAAAAAAGTATCTTTAATCCTTTCTGCTAGTTGGATTTCAGTTGTCAGGAATGTATCTACAATATTTTTGACTGCCTTGGCTATATCTCTGTTCTGGTAATATAACATACTATCAAGGTATACTTTGGTGGTTTTAGCTTGTGTTAAGTACTAAAGTGAATATTGCATGAGTTAGCAGACTCCTGTGCTCATAAGTATCATAAAAGATTAAAAAACAAACAAAAAAACCCACAACACACCTTTATGGAAAAGCAAATCAAGCAGTGGTTGTTTATCAGCTATGTGCCACGAAGGGTCTTTATGAAATTTGGAAAGAGGCTGGTTCACTAAGACTCAGAGCAACGTCTTCTACAAACTAAAGCAGTTTCTCCTAATCAGCAGGTAAGCAGCCAAGCAAGTCTGCTTAATTTCACTGCGAAAACCAGCTGCTGTTGTAGCATTTTCATGATACTTGTACAACAAGTAAAGGAGGAAAGAAGCAATCTGTGCTGACAGAATAAGGAAAACTTCGCTGTGTGATTTCAACTTAATTTATATTTGGAGTTACAACCTGGTTCAGAATTTTAAAATTTACTCTCTCCCCTTTGCCTCTCTCTCTCTTTTCCCTCTTTTCCCCATGCATTCTTATTTTTTTCCTCTCTTCTTTCTATGTGTTACTTCTGCACTGAAGAATGTGCTGTGTAAAGTTTAATGAACTAGGATAATTCCTCATCTAAGAGAGTTTTATCCTGGAGGATTTCAGGTCCTGTTTTTTCCTTTAGAAACATTTCCTATAAACTTTTTTTCAGTTGACATGTGAAGTAATGTGTATCCTTTTTGTCTATAAAGGAAACATTTTTTTCTGTAAATATTATTTTTCAAGTGTAGTCTCATTTAGCATCAAAGCTGTGTTGCTGTCTGGAAGTAACACCAAATCCATCTAGTTTTTGTTGTACATGTGAAATTTTCATTTAATTGCTCTGCTACTGTGTACATATGTAACTGAAATTGTGTAGCAATTAGCAATTTCTAAAACAAAGGAAGCTGTTGACAACTTATAATGATGTAGCTTCTGGGTTAAAGCTGCGTGTCCAACAGTCTCCTCCTTGGTAGCTTTCAGAATTATTCAGCATACCTGTGGTTGCAGAACTCAACTAAAGGATGAGGATGTTGTTGTTGTTGAGGGTGAGGATGTTCTAGGATGTTGTTGGAAATACATGTGTGTATCTTTGTATATATATATAATGAATTTTCTGAAGATAAGTAGTAACTCCTGAAGAAATAATCTTTTTTTTTTTCTTCTTCTTAAAAATGGTGCTTTTTTACATTTTACTGTAGAAATTGTAGTGTTTTACAGAAATTGGGAAGATGAGGTATGTGCCCCAGGAAACTCATCAAATTCACTAAAGAATTCAGTTTGGGTGATAGAAGCATATGTTTCATACTTCAGGTATTCAGGTAACACAAACCTGAAACCTGGGTCCATGCACATGCTCTTCTGGTCCTATCCATACTTTCCTGCCTTTCCTGTGCATTTTTCTTGCCACACCATCTGTGTTGCTATGTATGATGGATCTGTTAGCTCAGGTTCACGAACCAGTGGTTGACAGGAGTATTTATAAGGCAGGACAGACATTATTATGCTGTGGCTCAAATATACTTCTAAGCAACAGTCAAAAGAACCGTACATGTGAATGTGGTCCCATTAGCTCTTTGGTCATGTGACACTGATGTGACACATGAAGATGATGACAATGAAATGAAATGTGACACTTTGACTCGGATGTCTGGTATTATTCTGTGACCCAGGATTTAGGATGTCCCCAAGAATTTGAGCATTGAGAAGGAAGGAAGATTCAGCTTTCATCCTTCTGCTTGGATGACTACATAGGAAGGTTTTTTATACCTGGAAGGGACATATTTCATATTGGGAAACAATTGCAGGTGTAGAAGTTCCTAGTACCAAATGTCATATACAGTAACTTCACACATGCACAATCCTTCATTTCTGTAGGGAAAAAATACTGATGATAATCAACAAATTGAATTAAAAATAGAGAAATAAAACAGAACCAAAGAATTAACTCTGTTGGAAGAGGGCATCCTGGTTACCAAGAAGTAAGGTGATGCTACTGTTTTCCTACTTTTAGGCAAACTACCTTTCAAAACTGTCAAGGAGTTCCTAAATTTTAGTTCTTTTTCAGCTCTCCATTTCCTAAAGAGAGATCGTGTCAAGACAACCAAGCCTAGGTTCAATGAGATGGCCAGTGGAAGAACAGTTTGCAGTTTTTAGCATTACTTGTGTGCTATAAGTACTGAGATACTACACTACTCTCCAGGAAAAAAAAAAAAAAGATGGAGTTTTTCTGGAGGTTCTCATACCCTTTAACTCATGTTGATGCATTTCATCCCAATTTATCCTTCTCTTCTAGAGGTGGAAGTGGTAGAAAGTATCACACTATTTTTTTTGGGAAAAGTGTTTTAAAATAAAGGGTTGATACAAACTTGATGTATTAGACATTAGGAAGGAATTTTTCAATTGGAGAGTGGTGAGGCACTGGCACAGGCTGCCCAGAGAAGCTGTGGGTGCCCCATCCCTGGAGGTGTTCAAGGCCAGGCTGGATGGGGTTTGGGCAATCTGGTCTGGGGGGAGATGTCCCCGCCCATGGCAGGGGTGTACGAACTGGGTGGGCTTTATGATCTCTTTCAGCTCGAACCATTCTTTGATTCTGTATCAATGCAAGTTCTTACTTTTGTATTCTTCTCTACTGGTATTAACTCAACAACATTAAAAGCTTTATTTTTATTTTTTTTTAATTACATATATTATCTCTTTGTTCATCATGACACTGGAAAAGCAACACTTATCTAGTTCTGTTTTAGCCATCTTAATTTGGAGTCATAAGCCTTAACACTAGTTCTTTATTCTAAGCTCTAAATTTTAGCTTATATCAATGCTTTGATATAAGTGGTGTTATTTTTTTTTTCTAGGTATGTTTTTAAAGTGGTTTCAGAAATAACATTTATCAGAGATTGTCTGAATCCCACTCTAAATTCACAAGAGCTTTCTTTTATTTCTAAGAAGTGTCTGTTTTCAGGTTAGATCTTGCAGGCATTTCCTCTGAGCGGATTTGCGGTGTTGTTATATCTGGTGCTTTTTTGATGCACTGTACATATGTATGCTTGCTAGATGTTATTTTCTTCTGCTGCTCTGAGTTGGCAGCTCTCGGCTGCATCACCTGCAGTTGTACATTGTTTTGCAAATGCAATACATGGCCCTACATCTTATATGGTTCTTGTTTTATGCTGTTTCTGGCAGTATTTCCTTTGTGAGGGTTCTTCTAAGTTTTTACTTTGTATTCTTACATTTTTGCTTTTTGTCTGTAGCCAAACTAAGTATCTGCGCATTGTTCTTTCTTCTGGGCATTTTCTTTTTGTCCTGAGTGATTTCTGCAGCCCTGCCATGTTACATACCACTCTTTTCCAAGTGTGAAATCGGATCTTTCCTTAGTTCCTTGCCCCTCGCCCTCCACCCTGCAGCTTTGAATATCCGCACTGAATTAATATCTGATCTGTTATAATGAAATCTGCCAAGTGCCTTAATTATAAGCCTGACTTATTAGTTTAAAATGAATAAAAGATTCTTCAAGTAATTCTTTCACTTTTTGCAGTTTCATCTGCAGTCTTTCAAAACTTTATTTGGACAACTAGGTGGGTGATCTTGTCATAAAAGGAAACTAAGTTTGTTAGATATGACCTTCCCTAGTGAACCTATGTTGGCTCTGACCAATGTCTCCATTGTCTTTTAGGTGTTTCTCAATAACTCCCAGGATAATCTTCATGATTTTACGAGGCACTGACATTGAGACTGACAGGCTTGTTGTTGCCAGTATCTTCTTTCTTCCCCTTCTTGAAAATTGGGACCATGTTAAAATAGCAAATGTTACAAAAGTCCAAGCCTGCTGCCAGGGAGCCTGTGATGTAGTGAGATGCTGCACCTGACTATATCCTAGTTTAATTTTCCCTGCTAGTTGCTCAGAAAGGATCGGTTCATATTTCTGAAAATACTTATGCTAGTGTGACTGCCTATAAAACAGAAAGTGACGGTAACTCTGCTGAAACAAATGTTATGGCTGGTACAGTACTACTCTTCCTGAGTGAAATAGTCTGTATAGCCAGGACTGGACTGTTAAGTAAAGAACATATTATAAAAAAAAAAAGTGCTATTCTTATCTAGGAAATGAATTCTTTTGTATTTTTTCCTGTCTTGCTGTATTATTATTTTTTTGGTTTAATCTCTTTGTTCTATGATAGCAGCCATTTTGCTGTACTTTTTACTGCATTTGAAGTAATGTATTCAATTTAAATATTTTAATGCTACTGTGAATGTTAATTTCTTTAAAATATTAATCAAGTGTTATATATTTGACAAAATGAAAACTGGTGTCATGCAGAGATATGGTGTGGAATGGCAAAGGCTCTTTGGTTTAAAACTATATGAATAGTAGGAAAAAAGGTGGAGGATGCTGGTAGTGTGGGGAAGCTTTGTACTTATCTCCTTGAGGAAGAAAGTGTTATATTTGCCCAGCGATAAGTATGCATAGTTAATAAATGATGCATAGGAATTAAAAATCCTGTCTGCCATTTAAAATATTTTTGTTACTGTTGATTCTTTTTGAAGGACATATGTTTTGAAGGACGTGTGAAGTACTTTCTGAACTGTTTGCTACCTCAGGCTCTCTGATAAAACATGAAAGTTGACAACATGTATTGTATTCTCCTTTCATGGAACTAATCACTACTTTCAGGTTACTTCTGTAGGTACTTCATTTAACATAGATAGTCTGTTCAGATTTAGTTATTATGTTTTTATAATAAAAAGCATTGGTCTTTGTCTGCATGATTCAAATGCTTAAGAGTAGCTTCATAAGCCGGGTTTCAGATTTCAAAATCAAACCATTTTAAGCTTTTAGTAGTGGCTACTCTGCTTCTGTCTTCATAGGATTATCGTGTTTTGGTTTCATCGTAAATGTTGAGAATATTAAATATGCCAGTATTTAGATGCATTGTAATTGTATTAGTATTATCGTATCAGTATGTTGTCCTTGCTCAGAAAATGTTCAGTTTCATATATTTATAGTTAAATCCTAACTCCCTTCCACTCTAACCATGTCTTATTGATAAACAAAAGTCATGGGCATAGTGTAAAATCCTTCGTGAAACAGCAGGAATCACTTCAAAAGTCTGTTTCTAAAGACGCCTTGTACTTATTACAGCAAAAAAAAAGGGGGGAGGGGACAATAGGCAACCCTTTCAGCTTGGTTCATTTACATAGGACATTCCGTGAAGTGCTGTCCTCTGACATTTCAGTGGGATGTAACACCAGAAGGAGGGAGCACTAGCAAAACCAGCTATTAAACCTTTTTAGATGGGGCCTTCTGTCCCCAAAGACCTTGTTATGGTTGCAGATTTTCTTTGTAGTGACTAAAAACGAGCTGTGCAAGTACATGTGAGACCTACCATTCTACAATTTGAAGATCTGCAAAATTTCCACAAGCTTTGAATGTCTTATCAGGTCAATAATGGAGCCAAATGGGCATATGCTGCCTGGATTTTTTTCCTCTTTCCATCTTGTTTTAAATATTAACCCTACTGCTTGCAGATCCCTTTCATATCGTCAGTTTTTCCTTCTTTTGATATCACAGTCAGTCATTCACCATAAGACACCTATTAAGCTAAGGGAAATGGTTCAAGAATATTTTTGCTTGCCTTTATAAAGCTTGGGCTCTCTAAACGAGTTCTGAACTTCCCATGTTGCCTACTGAGAAATATTGTGCATATGAAACTCGTATTATTGTAGGTCATTGAATTCATTTTTAAAATGCCAATTGACATCATTCCCTTAGGGAGTTGTAAGTTGCAGCCTCATATTATGTTCTAGCACAAATGTGGAAATTCAGTGTTTTAGAAGGGAACTCATTTGCAGTACAGAAACAACTTAACATGGATCAGGTGATGCCTTTCGAGCATTTAAATCTTAATAGATGGAAAGAGAAGGGTTTCCAGAGATCTTCACTCTCATTACATATTTAAAACTCAAGAGAAAACTGGGTTTTGTTTCCATACTTCTGGCAGCAAACTTCACAACTGCTGTTGATTCTTGTGTTTTGCATAACCCAAAATGGAAATTAGAGTAGCAATAATGGACACAACTGCTTAGTTCAGCACAGATATGGGATGCAAAATGCATGAAGAGTAATAGACAAAAAACAGCTATCGAGGGCTATTTGTGTGAATGATGTTTTGATTGGAAAGGTCTGTGGATGTTACTGGTGTTTGTTATATCTTGCTGACATATGGCATGCATTTTGCTTTTGACAAATACTCAAAAACAGAACACTGTATATGAAAATTAATCATTATCCAATACAATATGTTTTTCTCTTAATTATAACCATACCAAGGAGTGTGGCACTTAATGGGTTGTTAGTGTTTTTGATTCCTCATCTGCTGAAGTTTATAAAAATGGTAATGTTTATTCTCTACAGTTGTGCAAGGCAAGGTCGCTGTCTTTGGCCCATTCTCCCCTATAGAAACCCTCCAACATCATCTTGTCTACGTGACTGTTACAACTTCTTTAGGACAAATACAGAAGTTTCCAGAATTGATATATTACTTACTGGAAAATACTGAGTTTCTTGAAGCACAATTGTATGCATTCATATTGTCCTAATCTTTTCAATAGCACTTTTTTTTTTTTTTTTCCCTGTAGGTAGGCTTCTTTATAGTAGGACTGTTTCTATTTAATATAATCAGCGTGGAGTGATTGTGACCCTCTGAAACTTGTTTGTGATGTTTGTTAGTCATAACTCTTGACTTGAGAATCCACACCTTAGTTACAGGAAATAGACTAAGCAAAACAGTTAATTTACTTTTAATTAGGTAGTATAAAACACTAGATAATGTGATACAGCATAAATAATTTTGGTAACAGGAATAAAGATAATATATTTATAATATATTGGGTTTATTTTCCAATTCCCATCTCCAATTGGAATGATTATATCCTTGAATAAGCAGAATTCTTTGTGGCATTCTCCAGTGAGAGGCCATATTAATAATGCATATTTCATTTTAATTTTTCTTCTTTTTCTTCAGACCTAATTCAACGATTTTTGTTTGATTTTGTAGCTTGTCACTGCAAGTGAAGCTTTTAATGGCATGCCAAGGATACCACAAACTGTGCTAAACTTTAAACGCTGTTTTATATGTTTTTTTTTGGGTTACATGGTTAAAATGGGTTAAAAGCATAACATCAGTTGAAGGAAGAAGAGGGAAGGAGGGAAATGGTTTCTTTATATTGTTCAGACTGCACAGTGAATTTACATGAGAATTTTATCAGCATTCTTGGTGATATGCCTACTATGAAAGAATTCCCCACAGATGCAAATTTTTTGAACTGGCTTCTTTATCTTTCTTCTTTTGAGATACAGACTAAAAGGATGGATCTGCCTTTTATGTCTAGAGAATGATGCCTTGAGTCTTATTTGCAATATATTTCAGACAGCCTGTCCAGCTGCTGAAAATAGAGCAATTTTGCAGACAGTTTTTACTTATACTAGGGTTGAGGTTGAGGCAAAGCAATGGGAAGAACAGCCACTTCTTTGACCATCCATTTTACTGTAGTTAATGGAAATAACTCAAACCACTCCAAATTTTGAGTATTTCTGACATATCGGCAATCTAAAAAAAGTTGGCCATTTTGTTAAGACAAGTATCTATGTTTTCACTAAACCTGAAGATCTGTGGTCGTTGCATCACATCATGAATCATAGGATAACTCAGGTTGGAAGGGACTTTAGGAGGTCCAGCCTTTTACTTGAAGTAGGGTCAACTGTGATGTCAGACCAGCTTCCTCTTGACTTTATCCAGTTGGGTCTTGAAAACCACCAAAAATGGTCCTGTCCGGCAGACTGTGTGTCCTTATTGGGGGAAAAAATCTCACCTTATATTCTTCCTGAACCTTCCTTGATTCAAATTGTGTAGCTTGAAGGAGATGATTCCTCTTAGATGCAAGCTTCACTTGCAGTGACTTAGGGTACGTGAGGAGGGTCCAGATGAAGGCCACAAAGATGATCAGAGGGCCGGAGCACCTCTCCTGTGAAGAAAGGCTGAGAGCTGGGGATGTTCAGCCGAGAGAAGTGAAGGCTCAGAGGAGACCTTATAGAGGCCTTTCAGTTCTTAAAAGGGAACTACAAGAAAGACATGGAAAGATTCTTTATCAGGGAGTGTAGTGATAGGACATGGGGCACTAATTTTAAACCCAAAAGGGGTAGTTTAAATTTGCTACTGGGAAGAAATTCTTTACTGTGAGGGTGGTGAGGCACAGGTTGCCTGGGGGAGCTGTGGGTGCCCTGGAGGTGTTCAAGGCCAGGCTGGATGGAGCTTTGAGCAACCTGGTCTAGTAGGTGGCATCCCTGCCCACAGCAGGGGGCTGGAACTGGGTAGTCTTTGAGGTCTCTTCCAACCCAAACCATTCAATGATTACATTAAGGTTCGCATTTATATGAGTGTGTGAAGGTGTGGTTGTTTTTTGTTTGTTTGTTTATTTTGTTTTTTCCCTTCAGACAGAGCTGCTGTGGGAGGTAGCACAATTTCTTGGCTTGATTGGTTCTGTCCACTTTGGAGATAATGCTGAGGACTACATTAGGAGAAGATGTAGAGTTCATTTTGTATAATCTTGTGAAATTTGAAGGTTGACAATTTAAGATGTAAGCATGATCAGCAAAACCTAGCAAGAAAATCTCATTCTACTTGGTGTAGACTGTAGATTTTATATGTTACCTCCTGTATCATTAAAAAAAATAATTTACTTGCCAATGTGACTGAAAAAAGACTGCTACTTTAAGGCAGCAATGTGTCAGGTAGCTCTTACACTATTGCATAGCACCCTGAGTTCTCAAGATAGGCAACTGCTGAGAGTCTGGGGAGTGATAGCAGTAAGTATTGGAAAATAGGGTGATAGTGTGCATATTTTTACTTACAGAGTTCATAGTTTTGTGGGGGTCATATCTTTGGTTTAATACTGAGGTGACACATTTTAAACCATCAGCTGTGACTTGCTTTAAAATGTGCATATAGTTTTCACTTGCTGTCATTCATTTTGAAAGCTGTTGACAGATAACATTGATTCTAATAGTATCTGGTCTAATTCCTGAAGTGTGTTGTGACCAAGTGGTCCCATCTGTTTTTTAAAAGTTTTTAGCCTTTTTAACAAATGCTATACCTGGCAAATTGGGTTCAGAGTTAGTGTATGAGCTGTAACACTTTTTCAATGCTTGGTTGTTTTCAATCTTAATGGCATTTTCCTGAAAGCCTATTTTACCATACTGCAAAATACACGTTTATTCCTTTTCTTCAAAATTATGTTGTTTATTCACAAGAGTGACTTTCTTTATGTATTAATAATGCATGAAATATCTTGAAATCTGAGGTCTCTGCCCATCTATAAAATAGAAATTAATCAAGATCTGATCTGATCTAGTAGTCTTTATTCCAGATACTGGTATGTCTGTTCTATAAACCTGATTTGTTTGTAGCTTCCACTGAAATTTTAAAAACAAATACACAATCAGAATCTGTTCAGTGGCTATGTTACATGTACATGCAATAACTGAATATCCATTTATGAAATATCTGTGCATGAAATTACTGAATATCTGATGATTTCTCCTTTTCAAACACTGCTTTTGCATAGCACCTTGGAACTGAAATGTCAGTAAGTTTATTTTCTTGATGTTTTCCTTCCTTCCTTTTGTGAAGTTTGCCTCACAACAGGCAAGTTGCTTGGAACATTTAGGTACTAATGGAATTTTGAGACAGAAGTCATAACAAACAATTAAA